CTTGAGGATTCCATATTGAATTATATTTTCATTTTCTGATTTCTCCACTGAGTAAAAAATGACTTTGACTTCTGAGATTTTTTTGATTAACTTGGACTGATAATGTAGGTTAGTTCATTATAATTAAATGAATACCTACTATGTGTTAGTTATCTTTCTAGGTGCTGTAATAATGAACACAGCCTATTAGAACCTCAGTGTTCTTGGATTTATTGTCTAGTTAGGGAAATTAACAGTAAGTAAGTAAATAAAAGTTAGGCAGCAATATGTTTTGAAGACACAAAAGCTGTAGGATAACCTTGGTAATGAATGACTAGAGTTGGTAGTGGTATAATGTTTTAGATTTAGTAGTTAGGAAGAGATGATGACATTTGACATCTAAACATCAAGACCAGATCTTATATATTGCTCCATCTAACATTGGCATCCTAGGACTTGCCCTCTAAAACTTCCAGAGACTTGTCCTCTTTGATCCTTCTAAAGTTCTGCTTCTTTGAGCCTGCCAGAAATCTTCATGGTAAGTACATCTCTTGAGTGAAATCTTGCTCATGGAGTTGGGAATATTTTTCTTCTTTGTCCTCTTCTCCTGGCTTGCTCATGTAAAAGAAACAAATAGATATGTTTTCCCTTGATTTAATTCAACAAATGTCTACCATCCTCAAGGCAAATACATACTGCTTGCTGTAACTGGACTTTGACAGACAAACTGTATTAACAGGCTTTCAAATTGGAATTGTACAAGGCTAGTTGCATTTACTTCTTCTTGCATGTTTTGTTTACAATATTTCAAAAAGTTCACTATATATTGCTTGTGTTCTGCAAAGATTGGAATAGAAATTTTATGTACATGCCTTATAGGAAGTTTGCTACCAAGAGGCAACTTAATACCTTCTGGTTCTTTTTAGGAGTGCTCAGGAAGCTGTATGCATTCCTATGTTAAAGGCTCCTGGGATTACTGAAGTGGAATTAGGAGTATGGTGGCAAACACAGACAGTAATGTCTATGTCTGTTTTATCCTTGAGTTTGGTTCTGTATGAAATCAGAACTTTTCTCCTTATATAGCCCAAATTTTCCATTCTTCCAATGCATAAATTGAATCAAAATAGCAATAGAAATTAAGGGGGACTGCCAGACTTTCTTTCTGACTACATTTGTGAGTTTCTGCCTCACTTCAAATATTTTGATTTTTATATCTTGTTTTCTTCCTCCTGCCAGAGCTCTTTAGAGCAGAGCATCAGAGATTCATGACACCCTGTAGTCTGAGCTTGCTTAGCCTATAGAAAGTCATGTTATAATGATCTCAAAATAATGAAAGATCTTTGATAGTCATTTTCTTAACTGTATCAAAATTCAGATCAAAACATACCATTATGCTTAGCATTTGAAGCATTCCTAACAGTGTCATCACAATTGCTTGACACAATTCTGAAGTGCAACCAATGTCATGTAAAAAGTGAAAACTGTGATGTACTAATATTGGAAAGGAGGATGACTTTTTTTTATGGCTATGCAGTGATACAGAAATTATAAGAAATAAATTTTAGTGTGATGTTTCTTATGTTCAAACAATACTCTAAAAGAATATTTATAATAGCAATAAGACATTAAATAATTAGGAATTTATAACAGCAAGTGATGTATAAAATAGCTTGGAAAAGGCCTAAGTACTTACATAAGATCTATATAAAAACTGTGTTCTCAGCCAGTACTAACAGTACTAATACTACAAAATAGTTCTGAAGCTTTTCTAGCAAAATAAACATGTGGGAATAGTTTAAAAAAAGAAAAATTCCAAGGGAGAGAATAACTGGTAGAGGCAGTTGGGAAGCTAGCTCTTCCCAAATGCTGAGACATGTTATAAAAGCCACATTGTCAAAACAGTTTAGTACGGACAGTGACGCAGATCAGTGACACTGAAGGGAAGTTTTGGTGAAAAGTCCATTTTGCATATGTTTTTCCAAGTATAAAAAGCAATAGGGAGAAAAGTGAAGTCTACACCTATGGAAACTACTGGCCAGTAATTTGGCTAAAGATGAAGCCAATCTATTCCACTTCTGTATAAAAATTCATATGAAAATTCTGAACGTGCCAAATATGCAAGTATTAAACTTGAAACTGGAGAAGTGAAAAAACACCAGGGGATTTAAAAAATGATCTAAGAATTGTGTAAGGTTTATTAAATAGCTTAAATGCCAAAAAGCGTGCTGGGGTTGAGAGGGACATTTGCTACATGCGTGATGAAGGGCATATGTTCTTAAAATTTCAAAGCTTTTTAAATAAATTAATAAAAGAATCCTCAAATAAAATTGCATAAATTATACAGTTCATAAACACAAATGGCTAGGAAACGTGCAAGAATGATCAGTCTTACTTATTAATGAAGAAGTTCAAATTAAAGCTAGATATTATTTTATACTTATTTTGTATCAGACTGGCAAAGATTTTAACTTCTCAGTAATGACAGTGCAGAAAAAAAATTCTTATACATTTGTGGAAGTGTGAATTGATACAACATTAAAAATAAATTTAACAAGTATCTGTCAAAAATTTAAATTTTTGCTTTTTAAGGGAGCAGGTTCATTTAAAAGAATTTATTACAGAAATTACATAGTTACATGTAAAAGAATGTTGTACCATGTGTAATAAAAATTTTAAAGGAGCAGATAAGTGTTGTACTGATGATTGATGTGTTATAGTACACCTATACTGTAGTATACAGGAAATGTTAAATTTAGATACTTATGTTTTGGTGTAGAAGGATGTAGAGGATATGATAGGTATAAGAAGGGCAGCTAGCATTACAATATGGATATTTTACTTAAGTGCAAAATATATAAAGTTAGAAATGCAAAGTTTATTTCTGTGTAGTAAGTGTATTTGAAGGATTCAGAGACTGGTAACTAGCTACCTCTGGGGCTTGGTATTGGGTGATTGAAAGAGGGTGGGAAAGTTCTTGCTGCTTATTTTGTACTCTTCTGTACTAGAGGTTTTCCTTTATTTTTTTTTAAAATAGAATATATTATTTTTGTACTTTAAACAAACACAGCTTAAAACTATAAGCTTATCAAAGCACGGATTATGTTGCATGGGTTTTTATGCATAGTTAGAGAAGATAAAAAACCTGGAACCTTTCACTGTGATTAAATGCAGTTATTTGAAAATAAAACCTATTTTGTGTGTATGGTATGCTCTCCTACCCAGTCCAGGGTCTTCCACAAAAGATGTAACAGTACTTTCTCTATTGGAGACTTACCTTCACTTCTGCCTACATACTCCTGACTTTACTTAATCAGTGGACTTTATTGCAATTCAAAACCAATGAAAATTTTGCTGTAGGTCATAACATAATTTGACTAGACATTGGAATAGATTTCATCATTGTTTTTCATTAGCAAATGTCATTTGCCACTTGTAAGAGGTGTCACTCCCAGAACCAGAGTTAGTGTGCGACTCATCTCACAGCAGGGTTGGTGGCGCACATCTGTAATTCTAGCACTTGGGAGGCTGAGGCAAGGCCTCCCAATTACAAATTCAAGCCAGCCCACATAGCAAGAGCCTATCTCAATAGGACCAATAAAAAGAGAAGAAGAAAGAACTAAAAAAAGAGACCTATCTCAAAATTATCCTCTAAAATATCATTAAATAAAGCCTTCCTCTCTAATCCCCTAACATTTTTTAAACAAGATGTGAGGTTTCCTTTGCTAAGAACTCTTTAAAAGGCTGTTACCTGTCTGGTCCACCATACATACTGTTTTCAAACCAGGAGCTGGTCAAGCAAAGGCTTTCCATATTTAATTTGTTAAAATGATAAATGGTTGTCTCCTCCCTAAAAATACTTAGAAGAATTCTGACAGATAAAATACTTTCCTCTAACGCCAGGCAGGCTCTAGCCATACATGAGCAATTGCTGACTTGCTTCTTCTACAAGAAAGGTTGAGACCTTTAGTGCATCGCTTCGTAAGTAATCCTTGATAAAAAAAATAGCATATAACCCAGAAGCAAAGTATATTTTAGATGTGTATTTCTTAACTTTGGCTAAGTGATTTTTTTTAAACTTTGTTTAAATTTCCATCATAGAAAATATTGTATTTCATATGATGCATAGTTGTATTATTTAGAATTTCCCTTTTTGTTTTCCCAACATTTCTCTAAAAGTTACTCTGTTCCCAAATAACTGCTGACACACCACTGCTAGGGTTTTTGTACTTTGAAACCTTTTTCAGGAAAACTTCCTTTTGAGAGTTAATATCATTCAAGGGTCAAGAACAGAAAGTTTTATTTAAAGCCTAACATTGGTTTTATTCTTAGATATCTCTTCAACTTCATCTCTACTTCAGTATTTGTTTCTATAGCAACTGAGGTACAGTTTACAGCTGGATCAAAAAGAGAAATCTGTAGGTGTAAAGAAATTTATTTTTTAACCTAGAAGGAGAAGGTACTAGGTAACACTTTCCCAGCTTCTACAGGCTATCTTCTATTTCCAGGAATTCTGTATTTGACTGATAGGTGTCGTTGCCTTTTTTCTTGAAGAAGCCAGGCCTTCACTTTTCTTCATACAACCCCAGAAAAGATGGCTGCTTGTGTATTCTACTGTTCAATCACAGTCAAATTAATTAGCTAAGTTAACAAAGCAGCTCAAAGGGAGCTCTTCAGTGGAAGAATTACAATTTTCAGTAAAATTATTTCTCTTCAAATGGAATAAGGGTTTTTTTTGGGGGGGGGTGTCTGTTCAAGTGTAACTGGAAAAAATGTGGCATGGTATTTATGTGTGTATTCTTAGTCTAACTGAATTTAGGGTGTATAACCTAAAATTGAATCACTTAGATGGGAGAAATGCTATTGGAAGACCATGAGCCTGCTGAAATAGACAACACCAGGATGCTTCAAGCACTTAATGTTAAATCTTCAAAGATATGTATAGCACTTTAAAGAGGAAAATATTTCTCTTTCTTTTTAAGTTGATTAAGCTGGAAGAAGATTAATGCTTTTTTATATTATAGGAACTACCTTCTGTTGAAGAACTCACTATTATTCTGCCTGATGATATTGAACTAAAGCCTCTTGGGATGGTTTCAAGTATTATTGAACAATTAGGTATGTAAATAATCTTTAACAAAAATTATTTAGGTCCAGATGTGCAGTAATAATTAGATCAAGGACTTGATGACTTAAGTTTTCTTCAAAATATGTACTTTTAGTCATTAAGTTTGAAGAGATAAAATTTAGGTTTTACTTCTGTAGTTACATTTTCTCTATAAAAATGAAAGATCTGTTTTTAGTGACATACTTCAGAATTTGATTTGATTTATTAGTTTTGTATTGCTACCATAATTAATACTCAGTTTAGTGGCTTACAACAGCACACATTTGTTTATCTTATAATTGTTGTAGTCTGATGTGGCTCTTTGGGTCTTACGGCTAAAGGCAAATTGACTAGCAAGACTGACTAAGTCACCACAGATTTAGTGGCACAACAGTACAGATTTGCTATTTTACCATTAATGTAGCTCTGTAGACTGACATGGGCCTTCCGGTCTTAGTGGGCTAACTGTCCAGCAGGGCTGAGCCTCTTTCTGTAGGCTGTCAGGGGAGTCCATTTCCTTGATCCTTCTAGACCCTGCCCATATTTTGTACTCTCTTCCTTCATCCTGAAAACCAGTAATGTAGCACTTCTCTGTCACCGTTCCATTATTAACATCTGTTTCTGACCACTCCCTGGATAGAGTCTCTACTCTTAAGGACTCTTTAGATTCAGCCTACTTGTGTATCCAAGATGGATGGGATGGTGTCTCTTGAGAATGAGGGGGCCCCTTCCTTTTTTGATTTTTGTTGGTACTGGGATTCGAATTTAGGGCCTTGCTTGGGCTTGTTAGGCAAAGTCCTAAGCCACTTGAGCCACATCCCCAGCCCTTTTTTGCTTTAGTTATCTTCTGAATAGAGTCTCATGTTTTTCCCTGTGCTTACCTGGAGCATGATCTTCCTCTTTAAATCTCCTTAGTAGCTGGAATGACAGGTGCATGTCACCTGCTTCATTTCAACTGGATTTATTGGTTGAAATCCTGTGTGATGTCCCTCTTTCTGTGATCCTTCAGGGTAGCTGGGATTACAGCCATGAGCCACTGTACCCAGCATATCATGCTTACCAGAAAGCCCAAGGACTATTTGCCTCCCTCCCCAATATACAATACAGGTATTTTCCTTCAAGAATCTGAACTCTACTTGCTGAGAGGAAGGGATCTCCTCCATTTTCTTTGGACTCCCTAAGGACAAATTTTGCAGACAGTCGTAGAAAAATGAACAACATGAAGGCTGAGCTGATTTCATTGGACATTTCTATTCTTAGGCCCTGGGCTGCAACGTTTTCCTCTTCCCAAGTCTCTCAGTGACTGCCCTGCCCCTCCCCAGATTCTCCAGGAGTCTCCTCTCTGTCCCCGTCACCTTGTTCCTGATTCTCCAGGAGTCTCCTCTCTGTCCCCATCACCTTATTCCTGATTCTCCAGGAGTCTCCTCTCTGTCCTCTTCACCTTATTCCTGATTCTCCAGGAGTCTCCTCTCTGTCCACTTCACCTTATTCCAGATTCTCCAGGAGTCTCCTCTCTGTCCCCATCACCTTATTCCTGATTCTCCAGGAGTCTCCTCTCTATCCCCGTCATCTTATTCCAGATTCCCCAGGAGTCTCCTCTCTGTCCCCGTCACCTTATTCCAGATTCTCCAGGAGTCTCCTCTCTGTCCCCGTCACCTTATTCCTGATTCTCCAGGAGTCTCCTCTCTGTCCTCTTCACCTTATTCCTGATTCTCCAGGAGTCTCCTCTCTGTCCACTTCACCTTATTCCAGATTCTCCAGGAGTCTCCTCTCTGTCCCCGTCACCTTATTCCACATTCTCCAGGAGTCTGCTCTCTGTCCTCTTCACCTTATTCCTGATTCTCAGGAGTCTCCTCTCTGTCCTCTTCACCTTATTCCTGATTCTCCAGGAGTCTCCTCTCTATCCCCGTCACCTTATTCCTGATTCTCCAGGAGTCTCCTCTCTGTCCACTTCACCTTATTCCAGATTCTCCAGGAGTCTCCTCTCTGTCCTCTTCACCTTATTCCTGATTCTCCAGGAGTCTCCTCTCTGTCCACTTCACCTTATTCCAGATTCTCCAGGAGTCTCCTCTCTGTCCCCGTCACCTTATTCCTGATTCTCCAGGAGTCTCCTCTCTGTCCTCTTCACCTTATTCCTGATTCTCCAGGAGTCTCCTCTCTGTCTTCTTCACCTTATTCCTGATTCTCCAGGAGTCTCCTCTCTGTCCACTTCACCTTATTCCAGATTCTCCAGGAGTCTCCTCTCTGTCCCCGTCACCTTATTCCTGATTCTCCAGGAGTCTCCTCTCTGTCCTCTTCACCTTATTCCTGATTATCCAGGAGTCTCCTCTCTGTCCTCTTCACCTTATTCCTGAGAGTATAGATGAGCAGGTTGGGTGCTAGCATGACTACGTGTGGAAAAGCTAAATGAACTTCCCCTAGTGGCTGTGGCTGCGCGGGTTATAGGTAGGTGTGATGGCAGGACTGTGAGACAGTCTGTGTGGGAGCCACACATGCTCACCTCTGTGTTCTCCCCCTCCTCCCCAGGGTCCTTAACCTTAGTCATACTGATAAGTCTCCATTTTGAATCAGGAAACATATTTCCATGTTGAGGATTAGGGTGTAGACATCCTTGAGGGAGCTGTTCTGTCTGCCAGCTTTGAGTTTTGTCGTAAGAACATGTAAACTAAAAAGTTCTGTTATTTAATGTTGATACTAATTGCATGAAATATGAAGAGATATAGATATTTCACATTTCTTCAGTGCTAAGAAACTTAAGTACATGAGAGCGTTTGAAGATAATATAAATACTGTTAACCCTCACAGCAAGATATCTGAGAACAGAACTCGGAGCTCACAATCTTAGGATTTTTAAATTTTGAAAAGAAAGGGAATTGTCTGCAAGCCCGCTTAGTGTACAGAACCTAATAGGTGAGTTCAGTCACTTGCTTTTATGATTGGTTGTATGAGTGAGTGGGTGAAATAGGACTTTTATCTTTTGGTCTTTTTCTAACTGCCCATTTCAATATTTAAAAAAAGCCATAATTTTAAATTTACTAAAATCTAGATTAAAGTGAACTTTTTGTATAAAAATCATAATTTTTAAAACTCTGCCTTATTCCCAAGTCATCACTTTTACTAGTATTTGAGTTACCTTCATGGTGTTTAATAATAGGCATAGAGGAATCAAATAGGCAACTAATTTCTTGATTAAAGTTGCAGACTTACTAGATCTGATGTATGTAGGCAAATTGTAAGTCATATCTTGATTCTTAAATGTCATCAGAGGTAGAGGATATAAGGATGTGTATTGAAAGCTGTTGAAAAGTGGAGGCTGGCAGGTAAAGGGGTAAAGGAGAGTAATGGAACAAAGAGAAGTAAAGCACACTCATGGTGGGCATATATTGAGACACCCCTTTGAACATCAACTTAAATATTAATAATGAAAACCAGGAACATAAAAGAGGTACAGTGTGTATGTGGTGGTGGTACTAGTGGGAGCAGAGGATGGAGAAAGGAGATTAAGGTGATGGTGTATGGTAGATGGACTTCATATACCTATATGAAACAGAACTAAGAAACCTCTTGTGATTGTTTTAAGTGGGGTGGGGAGGGAGCTGAGGGAGAGAAACAATGGGAGCAATGTAACTAATGTATAATATAAGTCTAATTGAAATTGTCACTATGAATCCCTCCCTTGTATAACAAATATATCCTAATAAAAAATTTACAAAAAATAAAATTAAAAAAAGCAATGTCATCCATATGATATACTGTTGTGATTAACACATCTTCATATCTAACAAAATTCTCAGTGTAGTTGCCACAAAGAGTGAAAGATTCAAAATTAATTCATGGCACTCTCATTTAGTACTCTGTTTTAGAAAGTCTAAACTATCAAACTTTATTTTGACCAGTTTCCAAAAAAAGAAAAAAAACGTTATTAGGTAAAACCAATCTATGAATTGAAAAAAGAGCTGAAAGATGAAGAGAGGACTTAGCATTGCACTGTAGTTCTACAAGACATGCTGGGTTTTTTGCTTGTTTTGTTTTAATTAGGGAACTATAAGTGGCTAATTAGGTATTATCCATCTAGATAGAAGTGTCATGAAATTAATGATCTTGTCCTCCTGCCTACTTTTAGAGTATCAGTTTGAGAGCATTTAGCAATTTTTATCAGTATACAACACAGCTAAGTTTTTTGTGCCCAACTACTTGGAATGACCTGCATACAGAATCATAAGAGAGTGTGTCTGTAGAAACAGTTGTGCTGTTACAGGAAGAGCATTGGAACTTGGCATCAAGGTTTTCTCATAACTGTCTGGAATTGCCTATGTGCTAATGCTACATCTTGAGAGTCCTTGTTTCTCATCTTTCAATAAAGTAATGGTCTTGGGCTAGGTGATCTTCCATCTTCATGTATTTTGACTCTTTGGGAAAGGGCCTAGGGAGGACTGACTGTATACATGCTGTTATTATCAATCCTTACTCATCACCTTACTCCAGAAGCAGATTTATTAAAAACATCGTTACTTAAGTGTATGTTTAGGACTTACATAGTCTAATTGTTGAAATTAATTGGGATGCAAAATGAAATTTTAATTTTAATAATCTGAGCTAATATTCCCCAAGTGCCATTAGTTGTATAACAATATTCTTGTGTTGCTCTAATTCTTCCAGAACTTATTTGTTAAATCTTCAGTTTTCAAAGAATTCAAGATTATTCTAGCCAGTGGTATAATGCTTTTTGAGAAGGGAAGTTAAATGTAATGAGAAAAATTACTGTCAGCTTTGTCACACATGATCTGCTCTGAGGAAGATACTTTGTGAAGCATTTAACTTTTTCATTTATCAGTAAATAATCAGTGCTTTAAGAAAAGAGTTCTAGAATAAAACTAATTCCTTCTTAAAAAGGAGTTGTTACTAAGTGATTATAGTGTTTTTGGTAATAATTGCTTGAGAAAATGCTTGAATGTATTGAGTAATGGGCAATTAATATTTTCCGTTAGGTTTCATATTTTAATTTTTTCTTGAAATTTTAGCTTTTTCTATTAAACAGAAATATCTGCCATCCATCTCTCTTTGCTATTTGGTAGTTACATTTTGTTTACCAAAGAGGAATAATTATTAGGATGATATTTATGTATCCCAGTTTATGTTGGAATTAAGTTGTATTAATTTTAAATTACTAATTTCACATTGTTTAAATTATGTTGGAATTAAATCTTAATTTCTCATGAAAATTCTTTGTTATCTTCTGATTAAACCTTTCAGTAATCTGTGTGTTCTTTTACCTGTTTTTCAGTAATAATTGAATCTATGACTAACTTACCTCCAGTTAATGAAGAGACTGTAATTTTTAAAAGTGATCGACAGGCAGCAGGAAAGGTTTGTGAAAACTCAGATCCTATACGTTATTCTGTTTCTTTGTTGATTGGCTTTCCTGGCTTTCCTGTTTGCCCTAAGAAGAGTTTATTAATTTTAATAGATGAGCAATCTAGATCTCTCAAGTTTTAGTACATTCTTGAGTTCCCTCACTACTTCCTATCTGACTATAAATTGATTTAATACTGCTTATTACTCTTTGCCTAATCTTTAAATTCACATATAATATAGAATTCTTCCCCAGTGTTTGTCAAGTACTTTGCTTGGCAGGCAGTCTACATAGTGACTCTCTGCCCTCCAGGTACTCAGGGCTGAGTGAGGAAGACTTTCCACACAAATTCTTAACCATTTTTGGTTTGTGAGTCCCTATGCATTGTGGTTCAGATTTAGGCTTCCTCAGGTGGAGGTTCAGAGTGGAATCTGTTTCAAGTGGTAGAATGATTCAGTGACAGCAGTGAATTGTCACTGTAAGCACACTGTAGAGAATTATGGCTATGTGTATTTTAGTAACAACCATATGTGTGGGCTGGACTGAGCCCTGCTATGTTTAAAGTTGCTCTTCATAGTTTAGCTCTCAAGTATTACTCAACCTGAAATCTCTACTTTGAGGGTGATAGTTATTTAAAATATTATTAAATCCTTCTTTTCTATAACTCAGGATTACTAAATTGCTTATGTGAACTCAGTCACATTTTCCAGTGACAAGTAGGGCCATGAGTGCTTACCAGTATTGTTGTATGTGCTTTCCTATTACCTGCTATGTGTGATAGTATTTTATCTAAGATTTTATGATTTCATTATTGCTATGGCTCATAAACACTTCACATTCAAAGGAACGTGGAGCCAAAAGGCATGCTTTGGGCTGGGGGAGCCTAGCAAGTTCAAGGACCTGATTCAATACCTAGTACTGCTCAAAAAAAAGTAGAGAGAAGGGGAATGGGAATATAATGGAGGGGGGAGAACTTATCCAGAGTACTCTGTACACACATATGGAGTTGTTACAATGAAATCCCCGGTATTAATGTATGCTAATTCAAAAATACAATAAAAATAACACAGGTATGCTTTGATTTTGTCCAAGAATTTCGATGTCACTTAGGTTTAGCTCAAACCAAAATCTATATAAACCTGAAGTTAGTAAGAAATTTCTCCAATGAAATAACTTTTTAACTGTTGAATGAAATCATGCTATCTAGGAAGCAAATCCCTGAGAAATAGCTTCATGTACCTGGCTGCAAATAATGATCATTTCACCTGTATTAATGAAGTTCTGGGAATCTTTAAAGTTATATTGTTTCTCTTAATCCTCTTGAAAGATACGACTTGGTGAATTGTTTTTAACACTGAGGAAAGTCGGACAGTGAATTGTCGCACTACATAGGATGCGGCAGTATGTATGAGAGTGGTGCTGTTGGGCACCCCTTACTTTCTTTGCGGCTGTTGAAGAGTTCTACATTTCTGTCTGAACCCTTGGGATGAGTTTTTAAAAAATTTTCTTAGATTGTTTTGTTTTTTTAATTTTAAAAATCTTAGAAGTTTTGATGCTGTTATTGAGAATATATTGGCATTTAATTGCTTTTTCCTTGTTTTTGGTTTTTTGAGATAGGGTTTTGCTGGTCTGGAGCTCACATTCCTGCCTCAGCCTTCTAAATGCTGGGATTACATGCGTGCACCACCATGCCTGGCTAATAATGCCACTACTTGTTTGTAGAGTAATCATAACTTTTAGAATGGTGATACCTTGAGTGAGTGAAAGCTTTGTATAGATTGCAAAACGAGAACGCTTACTACCAAATCAAGTACTGAGGATGTGCAAAACAGACACTTTCAATGCAATTAGTGTAGATTTAAATTGAATTGAATTGTAGTACTTTCAGCTCTAATAATTCCACCTCTTCCAAATCAGTTTTTGGAAGTTTTAGAAATGATAGAGATTTGTATATAAAGATGCCCATGGTGGCATCGTGCAATATTGAATGAATCAGAAGTTGCCTAAGTGTCCTGTGTGCGAGTTTTGTCCTAATCTGTAAAGAAGCATTATACAGCTACTAAGATTATGCCTACAAAGAACATTCATAAAATGGGAAAGTTAAATGCAACTGCCAGCCTTAAAGGATACAAAACTATAATATGGTAGTCTGTACTGACAGAGGTCATGTATTATCTATAACACATACATTATCAGAAACATTTTTTTTAAATTAAGCTATATAGTTAAAGGTTATGGCATCTTTGGTTTCTTAGAAATAAGAAACTTAAAAGTTCAAATCTACTTTTTTAAACATGGGAAGATCATAGTTTAATTTTATAAATATGTTAATACCATAGAAGTAACAGAATTGATCTAGTTCCTAATGAATGAGAATCTTTGCTTTTATGTTGCCCAACATAAGATTCCAAATGCAAATTGGCACTTGATTTTCAAAACAACCAGTTATAATTTTTACCTTATAATTCAAATGAGCAGTAATAGAAAATAATTCATAATTTACGTAGAGTAGGTATAGCTAAAAGGATTTGAATTTGGCAAAGAACACACTTGTTAGTTTTTTTAAATTCATAAAAGGAATTTGGAATGAGGTAATAACACTTACGAACAGTTTGTTGCTCTAACATTGATAGAATTATATTGTTTTAGCAATTTTTAGTGTTTTTAAAATGAAATATTCTTAACTTTTTCAATCGTTACTTAGCATGTTAAAAGAGACCTTTGTGTTTGTTCTGTTTGATAGATATTTGAGATATTTGGTCCTGTTGCACATCCATTTTATGTGCTAAGGTTTAATTCTTCAGATCACATTGAGAGTAAAGGTATTAAAATAAAGGAGACTATGTATTTTGCTCCATCAATGAAAGACTTCACCCAATATATATTCACAGAAAAACTTAAACAGTAAGTACTGTATTAATATGTTAGTTCTTATTAACATTTATATTTTAAGAATAATTCTCATTGATAGTATTTTCTTAGAGTTAGTGTATATTTTCTAAAGAGTTCATTTATCTTTCCACTAATATCTTTGAAAGCTATGATTTATAGAAGTTATATTTGGACCATTTAAATTTTCTGAGTTCTTGCTCATTGTCTTTTCCACTTTGTTTTATATACAAACTATCTCTATTAGTATTATGTAAAAAAGATTATTTTCAATATTAAGTAAAATTCTCTTTAGATTATATTCATAGGGTTAGCTATTCATTGAAACACTTTAATTCTCAAGAGAAAAAGAGTATGAATAAATTTCAGATTGCTTGTAAGTATATAAGAGACAACTAAAATGTGTCCCTACAGAGGCGTGGTGGATTGAGTGACTAGCCAGCATCTCAGTGCCCTCCATTTTGATTGTGAACACCCTACTGATGCCTTGGAAGGTGCCTAGTAATATTTTCTGCAGATCTGTGTTTTAATTGTGTTGCCAAGTGTCAGTTGTAGAAGTACTTATATAAGTTGATATTACTGTAATTATATATATTAATTTTAATTTTTTTAGTTAATCATGGTATATGAGTTCAAGTAGAATAGATTTTCCAAAACAATAAATTGAGTGCTTTTAGAAATGAGTAGTGAATTACTAAAAATAGTGTGAAATGTTGGGGGGTGGAATCTTAAATCCAAAATGACTTTGCACTTAGTTGACATACAAAGTCTTTTTAGTTCTAGCAATGCTTTTATTGGAAATTTGGAATACAGGCTATGCATTTTTATAGATAAGCTTTTTTCAGGAAATACAAAGGTACTTTGGCACAGTACTGCTCCTGGCATCTTAGTATAGGAAGGCTTCTATACCATTTCTATATTAAATCAAGTCTCTGATTTCATTCATTACTTTAGAGAAGAGATTGTTGGGCTTCATAATTGGTTTAACTCATGTTTAAGAATCCACATAATTATTTGAAAGAACATTTTGCCTAAATTATTCTTCAGGTTGTTTAAGGTTAATTGTACTAAGTAACTATTGACAGGTAACGAGTTAAATGGACACAAAGCCATAAAAATGTTAATATGTTTTAAAACAATGCCTTTAATAGTTAGCATTTCATTGTGCTTTGACTGTTAAGATGCCCCTGTGTTGCTGGGAAGTCAGCTCAGTGATAGAGTGCTTTGATGTTCCTGTGTATATGCCATATGCCTTCAAACAAATAGCATAACTGTAAAGGTTTCTGAAAACATTTACTAAATAGATTGTAAATAATAAGAGCAGTCTTTACTCTTGACTTGCAGTTTTCTTGGTAATAAATAAGAATAAGCCAGACAATTGGGGAATTAGGTTGTCCTGCAGGAACTCAACCTTGACTGCACCTTGGTGTCTGCTAGAAACCCAGTATGGTGCTCTGCCAGTGACTTGAGTCCTTCTGCTTCTTTCCAGCCTCACAGCCTCACAAGGTTGTTTTAATTGTAGCTTCCCATATACTTATTTAAAAGCACTTTTTGAAATGTCAACGGTAGATTTACTAGTTGGGGAATTTTCCCCAGTTTTCTTTAAACTCCAGGCTTAGGACACTATAGGTTATTAGGTAGCACATGCTCAAAAAGGAACACTGGAACTACGTTAAATACACAGACAGTAAAATGACAGTTGAATAAACACCCTTTTTTCAAGTAATTGTAAAGGATCGATAATGCCTCATACATAATTTCAAAGTTCTGGGTCAAACCTTTAAAGCAAACTTGATAATGTTCATTTTGTGCCATCACTCAAACTTGTGTACATTGATTTTAGAGGCATGAATTTCTGAAATTGCATTTATTTTTAAGATCTAGTTTAAAGTAGAGAGGACTCTCAGCAATAATACTTTGTGATATTTTAATGTAATTGAATAGCAAAAGATACTGAAGCCATGAAATTGATAGGATTAAAAAGATGAGCTCTAAGAATGAGGTTTTAGACATTATAATCATATTTATAATGGATATTTGCACTTTTGTTGGTCCTCTACCATAAGTAACTTTAGCTCCCATTGTTCATTTTATGTATGTCTCCGATTACTCTGTCCTTCAGAATTTTCAGTATTCCTCCTCCCAAACGTAGTCAGTCTTTATTTCATTCTCCCTCCCTTGAGAATCACTGTTGAAATAAGTGTTGCTTACTTAGAGGAAATTATTGATAATTCCTTAGGTGAATTGAGGAAAAAAGAATTTGTATTCTTACCTCTACCATCGAACCTATGTGGTGCACAATCAAACTGCCTGGGAGGTGGAGATCTGAGGAGTTCCAATTTGAAGGCAGCACAAGCAAAAAGTTAGACTCCCAATTTAACAAGCAGGTCAGGTGTAGTGGGGCATGATTATAATCCTAGCTACTTGGAAAGTAGAGATAGGAGGATCACAGTCCAAGGCTGGCTAAGGCAAAAATGCAAAACTCTGAAAAATGAACTAAAGCAAAAATGTTGGGAGGCATGGCTGAAGAAGTAGAGCAAGTGTAAGTCAGTACTGCCAAAAATTAAAAATAATAATTCCTAGAAAATTAATACCTTAAGTTTTTGAGTCTGTAGCAGCTGGAATAGCTTCAGAACTATAGGTAGTGTTGAACAAACATTTGTTGAACAGAATTTTATATAAACTTTGTGTCATGAAGTAAAAATCAAAATAGCAAAACCATTTTCATCACACTTTGCCTCTTGATTCCCTCATTGTTACTTGTGTAAGGATTGCATAATACTAATACTTACAGGTGTCCAAATTTTGTGTTTTTCTTACAAGCTTCCAAGATCATTTGAAATAAGGTATAAAAGACAAAAATGGTTTTCAATTTTTTCATTTGTATTATAAAATTAAAGTTTGAGCTCACACCTTCTGTTTTATTTAATTTTCCATACCATTAGATTATAAGGATTTAACAAAATCTACTCTTTTTCTAGGGATAGGGGATCAGATGCATCATGGAAGAATGATCAGGAACCACCACCAGAGGTAAGCTTAAGCCTGTTTACTCAGTATTTTATAAAGTAGGATGTGACTTAATCTTACAGATTTTTAATAATTAATCAGCTTACCATCTACCCTGTAATTTCCTATTTTAACTTTATTGATAACTGATAAGGGCAGGATGTCATTAATTAAATTATTACTCAGTTTAGTAAATTGACTCCATGGTTATGAAGATACTTATTGTGATGCTTTTTAGTAATAAACCACCCTCATCTTGGAGGTAGAAAAATCATTAGAGGGTACCTCTAGTTATAATTACCTTCCTAAAAAGAGAGCTCTTGATTTTCCCCCAGAGTGGTTTACTAATCTGTCTTTCTAGAAAATTCATTTGGGAATACTGTGCAAATGGGTGGACTAGTAGGATTATTTGGTTTAACTCTCCATGGAGGTGATTAAACAGATTGTCTTATACCCAGTTCTAAAGAAGTTTTTCAGTACTGTGGAGTTTTGATATTTTTCACATTTAAGTTTGGTCATTTTAGATGTCTCAAGCAATACTGAAGATAATGTTCTATGTTAATTTCCAGTTTTTCTGAGGCCTCAGTCAGGTTTATGTCCACTTAGAGTTTTGTGCAGATGTGAGTCCCTTAGCCAGTAGGGGATCGTACCTTGTCTCCACATTGCAATGGGATTGGATTATGTGTTCTATAAATGTCCTAAGGGCATGTGATTCTAAGTCACAAAGGCTCTGTACATTCACTTTACCATTGTTATGTTTGCAGCATTTTATTGCTGAAACCATGTTTAAACAGTATTGGGAGATTCACACAGGTCTTGAAATACATTTCTTGTGAAATGCAGTTGTATTAATATAGCCTGTTGTTTCAGGCCTAAGCACTACAGTTAATAATTCTGGTAATGTTAAATATTTGTGAAATTGGTTTGATTAGGTTAATTACAAAATTAAATCCTACATGCTACTTTAGTCAGATTAGCCCCTTTTATTGCTTTCCCTAACCCTTTCCCTTCCACCTCCTGTTGCTCAGTAGCTTTCAGTATATTATGTAATTTTACTCACAGATGCAGTGTATTTCAGTATTAGTTACTATCATAGCTTGTATGAACCATAATACCTGATTTTTAGTTTTAATAGAAAATAAAATAGTAAGAAATCATGACAATCATCGCTCTTAAACCTTGGCTTTCTGGTAATCTATAATAGTGAATCCCTTTCTTAGTTATCTGTGAATTTATACTTGCAATTTAAAATGATTTCCTCTTAAAATTTGGGTCCTATAAACATTCTGTTTGAAAGTCTTCCTACAGTTTATCTAAATAGAATCACAATAATTTTTATACCCTTATTTTGCCTTTTTGTAGGCTTTATCATATATCTAAAATTATATTACAAAATCAATGAATACTGCACAACCGTAAAGTATTAGACTTATAAAGAATTTAGAGTGAGACTAGCGTGCAATGAGTATGTACATGTTTTTGAGTGAAGGAGCCATAGAACAGTGTCTTTCATCTTTACCTCTGATCTGGTAATGTATAAAATTGCTTACTCTTTTGGCATCCTTTGACAGCTGGCATTTATCATGAATCTTAAGTCTCAGCCGTAGGTCAGACTTCTAGCTAGGGAGTACCCATACTAACTGAAGCTGTCTAGGAATTAAACAGACAAATAGAAAATCAAACCTTGAGTACTCAGCTTGATTAATGGCCTGTGTTAATGAAGAGTCAGTTAGGCATTTATCAAAGGTAATTATTTTTTGCCATGTCTAATTAGATAATAGTAGATGATAAGTTTTGAAAGGGGAAACATATTTTCAAGGTCAGCTGGTAAATACCAAGTTTTTTATTGCCTCAAAGTGTGGACTATTGAAATTGGCAGATCCATAGGATATAAATCTGTGTACTTTTTTCTTTAAGGCCTTAGATTTCAGTGATGATGAAAAAGAAAAAGAAGCCAAACAGAGGAAAAAATCTCAGATTCAGGGCCGGAAAAAGCTAAAATCTGAATTTAATGAGCCAGGTGAGTTTATACAGTATTGATTGTTATAACTATGCAGTCTTAAAATTGCCTAGAGTGGTAATCTCCCACTTCATTCCTTTTTTTCAACATTTAGCTGTCCTAATTCATTTGTCATATAAATTTTAGACTAACCTCTGTCAACAAAAAAGAAAATAAGTCTTGCTTGGATTTTGACTGTAATTGTAATAAGCCTGTGCATTAATTTTGAGAGAGTTGACTATTGAGTCTTAGATTCCATGAACATGGTACATATCTTCATTTATTTTATATCCTGTTTCATTTCTCTCAACAGCATTTTGTAGTTTTTAGAACACATGTTCTATTTTTTTCTAATTTTCTCATATTTTCCATTTTTCTAGTTCCCTGATAGTTTTCTTTCCTCTATTCTATTGGCAAACCTATCCATTGATTGTTTTTAAGACTTTATTTTTTTAGGGCAGTTTAGGTTCACAACAAAATTAAGAGGATAGATACACCTTATACCTTCTGCCCCACAAATATGCATTGCCTCTTCCATTCTCAACTTTTCTCATGAGTTGTATAATTTATGAACATACATTGACTCAAAGTCCATAGTTTACATTAGAGTTCATATATTCTATGAGTTCTGAGAAATGTACAGTGACAGGTATCCACCAAGTATCATGCTCTAAGCATCCTCTGTGCTCTGCCTGTTTGTTATCCAACTCCTTGCAACACTGGTCTTTTTACTGTCTAGTTTGTCTTTTCCTGAATATCGTATAGTTGGAATTCGTCCTCCCACCCTCCATATTCATCAGTCCTTTTCAGATTGGTTTTCTTTATTTAGTAATAGGCAGTTAAGGTGCTTCCATGTCTTCATGGCTTGATGGTAATTTACTTTTAGCATGGAACATTATTCTGTTGTCTAGAAAGTTTCTTACTCATATGCCTTCCGAAAGATGTATTGATTTCTTCAAATTTTGTCAATTATGAATAAGGCTGTTACAAATATCCATGTACAGGTTTCTATGTGAATGTTTTCAACTAATTTAAGTAAATACCAAGGATTGCTGGATCACATATTTGAAAGAACCTGCCAAACTGTCTTTCAGAGTGACTACTATTTTTAAGAGTTGTTGAGGGCTGGCAGAGTGACTCAAATCGTAGAGCACCTGCCTGCATAGAAAGCATGAGACCCTGGGTTCAAAGTCCAGAACCGCCCTCCCTCCCAAAAAAAAAAAGGAGTTGGTGTTTTTTAATGTTTTTTTTGTTGTTGTTTTTAAATCACTCATGTCTCTACAGATGTTCTTTCCCAGGCCATAGTTTTTCTTTTCATTCTCTTGGCACTGTCTTTCATAGACCAGAAACATTTAATTTTAATAAAATTCAGATTATCATTTCTTTTTCATCTGTCTTTGGTGCCGTATCTAAAAACTACCATGAACTCCATTATGTCATCTTTTAAAAGTTTTATGATTTTATGTTTAGGTCTGTGATAAATGTTTTGCATGTGAGTCTCCAGTGATTTCAGCATCATTTTTTGTGCTCCATTGAATTTCTACCTTTGCTCTTTTGTCGAAGACCAGTTGATTATATTTGTGTAGGTCTGTTTCTGAACTGTCTAGTTGATCTGCTTATTCTTTCACCAATACCACATTGTTTAGATTACTGTAGTTTTCTGGTAAGTCTTGAAATTGTCAGTATTCTAGTTTGTTCTCCTTCAATGTATAGTTCATTTGAGTTTTTTTATTTTTACTATTACATTGTTCAGTTCTGAAATTTGTTTATTTTATATTTTTATCTGAAACTTTGTAATTTTTACTTTTTGAGATTTCATAATTTCTCATTGAAGCATTTTTGTGAATGCATTATCTTTCTTATTTCTAATATCTTTATGTTGCCTTGGTTGATCTTCCTTGTTCATTGAGTTTGAAATCTTTATGGTTCTCTTATGATGAGTCATTTTTTATTGAAACCTGGATATGTTGAGTATTATAACATGAGATCTTACCTAAATCTGTTTTAGCTTAGGTTTGTTTTTCAAATACTGTTCTGACAGGGAAAGGAATGGGGTAGATGGAAGTCTAGATTTTGCTCTTACTGGCTCATAGTAAAGAATGCTTCTTTACTTCTGGACAAGGTTAAAAGTTTTAAATCCCCACTAGGTCTTCTCTTGTGTTTGGTAAGGATAGGAGAACCTCACCACTGTCCACTGACACTAATAGAGGATGGCCTCATTATCACTGGGTAGTGACAGAAGTCCTGACTACACTAAGTCTTCTCTTACACAACCCCAGTACATAAGGAGAAGAATTCATGTTTAAGTTTCACATTTTATCTCCATTGTCATTGCAGGTAGGTCTTGTTACTGGTGTCCTGCTCACCTCACCTTTGACCCTATGCTCGTGGTAGGGTTGTTGCCTTATTATAGGCTGTCTAGATTAGAAGTATTGGCTCTCTACGCAGCCTTTGGGAGTACAGGAGGGGATGAGGCAGTGGTTTTTCTATTGTGTTTGGCTGCAGTTACTGTCTAAACAATTTGTCTTGATGGGTTTTCTCTTTCTTGATCCTTTAAGTTTTGCCTTTTCATTTCATTTAAAATTGACAGTTTTCTAACTGCTGTATATTAGTAATTAAAGAAAAATCATTGAAATTTCAAGTAGTGCTTTTTGATGTATTTAAATTTTGCCTTTAAATATTTTTCTCCCATTCAAAGGTGAAGATTTTCTTGAAGTCCACCAGAGTTGGAATGCTTATAATTCTTCTTCAGAGCATGCAAAAGGATATCATAACAGAGAATTCACAAGAGGATTTCCCAGGGGCAGATATCCTCGACCTAGCCACAACAGGCCTCCACCTCAGCAGTTTTATAACCCAGACCATATGGCATCTCAGGAGACTTCGGGTTTTCCGCCCCAGAGACAAGATAATCCTGTTATGTCACAGTATCCCTTTCCTCCTCCAGTGTTTGACATGCATAACTTTTCACTCCCTCCACCCCCACCCCCACCCCCGGCCCCAGCTGTAAACATGGGTTGGGCTGCACCTAACATGGCACCTCACCCTTTACTCAACATACCATACTCCTTGCCTCCACCCCCTCCACCCCTGCCTCCTCTACCCTCTGCTGGAGAGAATAACTCTCCTCACTTTGGACCTTATTACTAGGGACATGCATACATTTCCAGAGAGACATGGACTTTTCAGATTGTATGTTAAAGATTTTAAAAAGCAATTATGAAGCTAGATTTAAAAAAAAAACAAAACCTGTAGAATACTAAATGAGTTACAAGTCTATATATTTGTAACCCTTTGTGAAATTGTATTCATATGAGAACTCCCATCTCAAATTCTTGAGGGAGAAATTCAATTATGTAATATTTAATTAAAACTTTGATTTATGCCTACTTCTTCCCCCACCCAATAAACAATATATGTAGTAGTGAATATGGACCAAGATTGATTATGTTTTAAAATATACTGAATATATTACCTTTTTTGGTATAACCTGAAAGTAAGATGTAGCAATCCTATTGAGAGTCTTTAAAATAAACTATTTTTATAAACTTATACTTTGGAATTTGGTTTTGATTATAATGAAGTTTAGCAGTAATTATTTAAGCAACCCTGTTTTTTGTTTTTGGTTTAAGTAAGTTTGAAGGTATAGAGGAAGAAAACTGTATTGACAGAAGCTATAGCTATAACTAAAGTTAGTGTTTATTATGCATAGGCAAGCTTCCACTGTCTATTCAGACTTACATTGTTTAGGCACTAGAAGGCTTGTGTTTAGCCACTTTCATCTTAAGAAGTAGTTAGGTGCTGGGCATGGTGGCATACACCTGGAGTACTATGGAGGCTAAGTCAGGAGGATCTTGAGTTGAAGGACAGCCAGGGCTACATAAGAGAATCTACCCCACACCTCCCCAAAAATGTATTTACAAACTGTTTTCTACATCTGTTTCACAGTTTCTTACATGCCTGGCACAGATTCAGTATTTAATAAATATTGAATGACTGAATGAATTTAGAGTTTTAAATGAATAGTGACTGTTGTTGAGTGTAAACGTAACAGGAAAAGATCTCCAAGGTAGTGTGAACTATTTCTCATTTATTAAATTAGGATCCTAAGTGTTCCAAAGAGGCTCAATAATTTTAGGTCACTCAGTAAGATGGCAAGGAATTGAACCTCATTTTCTTGTTTCTCACATTTGTCTCTTCGCACTAAATTGGTGGTTCCTAATCTTTCATTCCTGACACCCCTAGAAAATAATGTTCATATGTTATATTGAAATAATTTGGGGATCACTTATCACAAACCCATGAATTTGAGTTACCTTGAGTTCCCACATTTCCTTCCTGTGGACTGAGGGGAGTTCGCTGGATTCTTAGTGTACAAGTTGAGTTCTGCCTTGGTGTATGTTGACTTTATCATGTGTGTACTTCCTTCATTATCCTTTCTTGAAGTCTTTTTGCTGCTTCTCTTCAAGAGTTACCTTTACAGTATATAGCATTGTTTTTTTCTGATTGGTAGAATATTTGTGGTTGATAAGAATTGTATCTCAAAACACTAAAAGAACTCCACCCCCCACTCCCCCAACCCTTTTCTGTAGGAATAGAATACAAGATGTTAATTAAGACTAGTTGTAGGGCTGGTGGAGTGGCTCAAGTGGCAAGAGTGCCTGCCTAGCAAGCATGAGGCCCTGAGTTCAAACTCCAGTGCCACCAAAAAATTTTAAAAATAGCTAAAACTAGTGGTAATCATCATGGCATATAAAAAAAAAAACCTTTGAATTTTTGCTCTTCAGGTGCTGGTATCGGATGGTGGATAATTTAGTACCCAGTGAAAGAAAACTGATCTGTCTGATACATGCTTTCAATTAAGTTGGTACCTTAGTCATTTAGGCCCAATTTGTCTTCCTCCCTATGCTTGATTCAGGGTGTTGGAAATTTTGGGGTGCCTAGAAATCACCTGGATAGTTTGCTAAACATGAACATTCTTGGACTTTATCACCACATTTGAATTCAGTAGGTAACAGCCAGCCCAAGTGGTTAACTTTAGGATTTATTCTTAGTCTGAAAATATTTCCAGACAAAGATATTACTCCAACTTATTGGCCATGCACTCAAACTGCAATGAGTTCTGTCTTGCAGTGGAGAAAGTTTGGGAGTTTGTGGCACAGAAAAGAAAAATGAAACTAGCTACAAATATTTTATCCTTAGCCTCTCACTTGGTTCTCATGAGTGTATTGTGTCAATTACATTCATCTTTGGAATTTAGGAAGAACTCAGCCAGGTGCCAGAACCTTACACCTAGCTACTTGGGAGGCTGAAATTAGGAGGATGATGGATCAAGGCCAGCCCAGGCAAATAGTTCATGAGACTCCCCCTCCCATCTCCAAAAATAACCAAAGCAAAATGGACTGGAGGTATGGGGCTCAAACAGAGTTCTAGTCCAGTTCCACCAAAAGGGCCGGGCAGGGGAAGGAACCCAACTGCAATGGTTTTAATGTGTACCAAAAATCCATGAACTTAAATCTTGTCCTCATCATAGCAATACTAAGCGGTGGGCGTCTTTGGGGATGCGATTGCTTTGTGTGGGCTTCTCTCATCAGATTAGTACCTTATACAAGGGCTGGAGAAATTGTCTTTGGTCTCTTCCATTCTTCAAAGCCCTAGGATTTCTCCCCTTGGAAGACTGACTTGGAAGCAGACAGCAGTGCTCATCAAATGTCAAAGAAGCTTGTTCCTTTGTTTTGGACTTCCCAGCCTCCAAAACAGAAATAAATTTCTGTTATTTATAAATTACCCAATCTGAATTTTTGTCGTAGCAACATCAACAGAGTAAGATACCAACTATCTTAAAAGGGAAATAGTATAATTGTCATCACCACCTCAATCTTACAGTGCTTTAAAATTACATGGCCCTAGATCTTTTAGTTCTTAGCTGCTATAAGGTAATACTTAAAATGTTCTGTTCACACAGTTTCTCATGTCAAATAGAGAATTCTTTATTAGCCTTTTCCTATAAGAAGTTAAGATAGATGGACACACGCAGGATTGCAGGTAGAGAATTGCCTTTGCATGTCTATAGTTGCAAATGTAGTAGAATGAAAATTGCTGAGTATTTGTCACTTTCTTCCTCTATTTGGCAGAAAAGATGAGGTCCATAGTAATTAGATGACTTGTCTACTTATTACAGATATTGGAAGTACTGGGTTGAGACTGTCATGGAGACCTGGAATAAAATACAGTAGTCCTTAACAACGGACTGTATTTTGTGCTGTTATAACAGAATATTACAGTCTGGGTAATTTTATAATGAACAGAAATTTACTGGCTCACAGTTCTCAAAGTTCTAGGAAGTCCAATATCAAGGTGCTAAGTGTCTGGTGAGGGCAAAGGAGGCCTTTTATATAATGGTATTAATCCAGCTCATAAAGGCAGAACACTCAGTCAAATTGTCTCTTAAAGGCCCCACTGCTTCATAGTATAACCAGGGCAATTAAATGTCAACATTTGAGTTGTGGAGGGACCAATATTCAAACCATAGGCCATTTAGTTAAAGTGACATTTCATGTAGCTAAGTCATATGTTAAGTACCAAAATGTATCTATCTTCTATATAATAAAATAATTAGTAACCGGTCCAAAATAACCAAGACTAATGGGATATGGGGAAATGCAAGTAAGAAGAAATGGCAGGGCATCCATGTGTAGAAGTCTTCATTGTTTCTTGGACAATGAGGACTGTAAAGTGTTCACTTTTCCAAACCATATCCTGAATTGTTGCCCTACTTCCATCCCCACTCCTTTACATGCTACTTTTTCTTTTGTTTTTGGCAGCACTGGAATTTGAACTCCTGGTTTCATGCTTGCTAGGCAGGCACTCTACCACTTAGCCACTCCACCAGCCCAGGTGCTACTTTTTCTGTTGCTGGTGAGCACCAAGTACATTTCTTAAAATTCATGTCATTTAATAGGTAAGAAATGAATATGATCTGAATTCTAATTTACTGTAATTTTAAGCTGTTAAGTAAATATGAAGATATGGTATTACTGGGTATTGTCACTTTCATCTGTAATCTCAGTTACTTGGGAGGCAGAGATCTGGAGATTTGTGGTTCAAGTCCAGCCTGAACAAAAAGTTAAAAACACATCTCGACAAGTAAGCTGGTTGTGGTGTTTCATGTCTGTGGTCCCAGCAACATGGGAGGCCATAGATAAGACAACAGCAGTTTGAGGCCAGCAGGAGGCAAAAAATGCAAGGTCCTATCTGAAAAATGACTAAAAGCCAAAGGGGGTTGAGAGTATGGTTCAAGTGATAGAGCACCTGCCTAGCAAGTGTGTGCCCCAAGTTCAACCCCCAGGACTGCAAGAAAAAAAAAAAAAGTCCTACTGTTTTGAGGAGACATACAATCTCATTTGTGCCATTTGTACATATGTCCTTTTACCAATAATGGATGGTATTTGGGTTTGATTTTTATGACTTTACATTATAACTTTTAAAACAATATTTTCTACTAGTTCTTTATTGAGATCTTCATGTACTTGAGTTCTTTGTGGGCTTGTGTTCCTTCCCACTGCAGGAAAGGCAATCAAACCTTACCTGTGGATGACTCACGTCAGGGAAAACATGTAAAAGAAGAGAAATAATTCCCTTATTTGTCTGCTTTTTACTCTTTCCCAATCTATTTAGCTAACAGCCTAAACTAGACTTGAGAAAATTTTTTACTTAGGCCACTGTCTTCACACACTCAGGGAATTTGGAATTTTTGAAAAATAGGTTGTTAAGTCCTGGGGAAGTGATTCAAATGATAGAGCACCTGCCTTACAAATGTGAGACCCTGGGCTCAGTCCCCAGTACTTTCACAAGAAAAGGAAAGGAAAGAGAAAAAAAATAGTCATGTACTTCTATAACTAAGTGCTACAGAAAGTAAGTTAGTGTATTGAACAACTAAATCCCTTAAGAAAATAATTGAAAAACAAGCATTTTATAGAATGAATTCATTCATGTGTTCATATAATATGCATGTGTAAAATACTTTCTCTGACATCATGTTTAACACCAGCGAGAAGCTTTGAGGCCTAAAAACAAAAAAGTTTTAATAGGATGCAAGCTAAAAATAGAAAAAAAATTGAGAATTGTATTAGTTATGAGAATTCCTTGTC